TTTGTGTCTGTGTTAATTGGTTTCCCTTTTCTTTGTTGAAGAGGGTCTGTGCAGTCTTTCTGCCTATTTCGCCATCTTGCTGGATCTCTCCTGTCATAAGATTCTTAATTCACACAGTCCCTAAGTATTCTATATAAAAACAAAACCAAACACACTGCCATCCAGTTGATTCCGACTCATAGCGAGCCCCATGTTGGGTTTCCAAGGTCATAAATCTTTATAAAGCAAACTGCCTGGTCTTCCTTCTGTACAGTGGCTGGTGGGTTTGAACCACCAACCTTCTGGTAGCAGTCAAATGCCTTAGGCACTAAACCACCAGAGCTCCCTGAGTATTCCATACCAAAAACCAAATCAAACTCACTGCCCTCCAGTCGGATCCAATTCATAGTGACCCCTCCTTGGGTTTCCAAGGTAATTATCACTACAGAAGTAGATTGCCCAATCTTCCTGCCAAGAGGAGTGGCTGATGGGTTTTAACCACCAGCTCTCTGGTTAGTAGTCAAATGCCTTAGGCACTACGCTACCAGAGCTCATCTGTAGTAAACTTAAAAGACAATATACAACTTTGAGTTCTGATATATCAGTGCTGTTATATAGTCTGTGGAACAGATATGAGTAACTTGTGTTATTCCACCCTCTCCTCTTTTAATTTAACAGTTTTTAGATAATCATATCTTACTCATAGCTTGCTGAAAGCATTGTTTAGGTCTGCATGGCTCGTTCAGGGTGTAAAATAATTGTATCCCCATATCCCATCCTCTTTACTGTGACCATGCAGTCTTGGTTCTAGTTTGTTGCTCACATAGCAAATACAGGTTTAAACATTCAGTTTGCAGAAGGTTTTTGGGTAGTGCAAATGGCTTGTGCTCAACTAATAATCTGAATGTTTGTTGGTTTGAACCCAGTCAGTGGCTCCATGGCAAGCCTGGCTTCTGTATAGATTACAGCCAAGAAAACCCTGTAAAGCAGAGAGCACTTCTAGTCTGTAATCATGTTCACCATGAGTTGGAATCAACTGGGCAGCAGTGGATGTTAGCTGTCTTTTTTATACCCAGAAATTGAAATGATTAAAGTGTAAGCTGACTAGCTGATTTCTCATTGTGAACCTCATTCCTCTTTCTCACACTTTACTTGTGCTATACTATAAAATTTTTTTTGCATACAAGTGCATACACATATATCCGTGTATGAGTATTTGATGCTATGGAGCTCTGGTAGCATAATGCCTAAGGCATTTGACTGCTAACCAGAAGGTTGGCAGTTCAGACCCACCAGCCACTCCTTGCAAGGAAGGTTGGGCAGTCTATTTCCGTGGAGATATTGCCTCGAAATCCAAGGGGGGTTTGCTGAGTCAAATCATTTTGACGGCATGAGTTTGGTGTTTATGTGATACTCATTAACTGTTTAGCTTTTTCAGTTTAATTTAGCAGACACACACACATTTTTTTTTTATGATTCAAATCCTATTTGGTTTAATGAACCACATTACTATCACTTTTTTTTTTTTAATGGGCAGTCATTGAAAATACTAAACTCGATTAAGAAAAATCTTTGGATGAAAAATGTGAATTATATGTAACTACGTAATATTTTCATGGGTTGGAGAGGTCATCACTTAAAACAGAATTAGTTGGTTAGTTGAAATTTGTGGCAGAAAATGTGAGACATTTCAAGAGGAGTAATAACTGCTTTAAAGTTTACAGCTTTATGTTATGAAGCCTAAAATTAGTATTTGAGATTTTAAAGACAAAACAGGGCAATATTCCTGATTAGCACATTAAAAGTCTTCTGAGTATTTGGTATATGGTAAAGATTAATCAGTTAACCAAGTAGAGATTCAACTCTTATCTGCACAATCAAGGTTTCCAAATTACCTTTAATATATATATATTTTGACTTACTGAGCAAAAAAAAAAAGAGTCACGGTGACTTCATTAAAGATATGTTGTTCATTTATTCTGATCTTATATTGATAGATAATACCAGAAGATTTCAGCATAGCAGATAAAATACAGCAAATCCTAACCAACACAGGTTTTAGTGACAAACGGGCCCGTTCCATGGACATAGATGACTTCATTAGGTAATTACATTTTTCTTTTCCTAAGTGTTTACATTTCTTTACCATGACACCTTCAGATTAAGAGACTTAAAGGCTTTTAAGTGGTGTAAGGTGTGCTACCTGGGAGAGTTATTGCATAGCACTTCCGTGGTGTTGAATAGTATTTGGTGTAGAAGATGGAAGCTAGTTAGCTGCAGCAGAATGAACATTTTTTTTTAAGTAAAGAACAGTCAGAGCCAGAAGATAACCAACCTTTGTGTTAATGTGGTGTATCTGTCCTCCCCCTTTCTCCCCATCCCTCATCTCATTCATAATCTTAACATCTTGTCTCTTCAAAGTAGTTTGTAAGGTAGAATGACAGTGACAATTTCTTAAGCTGCAATTGGATGTGATTCTTTTTTCTGAGTTGGAAATAGCTATTAAATAGATCTTAAATATGAAATAATATTATCGGTCATACTTGGTTATTCATTTAGTAATATATAATACAGTTAGTTGTTTTCTAACTGAGGCAAATTCTACACATCTAGAGTATAAGTCAGGTGTGATAATTATCTCAGCGATTCAGACCAAAATATTTGTCTTGAATTAAGCAGGTCAGTCTTATAAAAGCAAAAGCAGCCTTCAGTCACCCAGATTAGCAACCTGCACTCATTTTTAATCATATGTATTTTTTCCTAACTAGTAAGCCAAACTCTTACCCATTTAGCTCAATCACTTTTAAAGCTTTCACGTTCCAGATGCTGAATAAAATTGATTATAGACTGTTATGTCATTGGTTTGACTTTTCTAAGCTGGAAACAGTTCCATATAACTGAGACAAATGTGGTATATATTGTTTTATTGGCTAGCTAGCAGTACTATTGTCTTTGTTAGACATTAAATCTGCAAGATGAACCTAAGTACCTATCTTCCTTTTTTATGCATTATACCTCTTCTGACCTGTTCCTATAGGCCAGTCTATAAATAATTATAGGTCTGAACAGAAAAGATGTAATCTTAACAGCCTTTGTTCTCACCAAACTTCCCTGCTATTGCACATGTGCAGTTTTCCACCTAGAATCTAATAGGTAGCCACAGAGAGAAGAATTATACATATATATTAATCTCACCTTCAACTGCAGTGAGTTCAGAGAGAAGAATGTGCATGTAAGATTACTCATTCATCTGATTTCTGCCTCTAAATCCAAACAGCTTTTTGTTCCTTTAACACGTTGAAGTAGAAAGAGTGCCAAGCCTGGGACAAAGGGAATTCTAACATAATTTGAGTCAAACTTATTATAACTTCGGATGTATGGGCTATGACAAAAAGAGGCACCAACATAGGTGTTATTAATCAATATGTATCTTGTAAATTTATTTGGAGAGTAAGGTTTCTTTAGTGACTGGTATTAGGAGTGTTTCATTGTTTGTTACTGTATTTGTGTTTTAGAATTCATGGTATAGAAACTATACACTGTTATGTGATCCATATTAGTCTTTTAATACCACCTCATTTTGGTTTCTTTGTCAGATTGCTACATGGATTCAATGCAGAAGGTATCCATTTTTCTTAGATTATCTGGAAAACGGAACTTTTCAAGCTCAAGAAAAAAACTGGAATTTTGTATTTTTGAGATGATGTTTGTACCACTGGGACAGTATTTTTTAATACTACTATTGTCATTATCTAAAAGATTAACAATATGAACCCACTGGCCACTCTATGGTAGAAAGATGTGGCAGCTAGCTTCCATAAAGATTTATAGCCTTAGGAACCCTATGGGGAAGTTCTACCCTGTCCTATAGGGATGTCATGAGTTGGAATCGACTAGGTGGCAGTGGGTTTGGTTTTATTTTTGGAGTCAGTTTGGTTTGTTTATATATATATATATATATATATATATAGGGCAGGGTCCAATCCATACATCATAATCTTCAAGTTCAAGAGCCGCAGAGACGCACAAGTTTACCCTTAAACTTATTACTTGTAACAGTTTATTGTTTAAAGATGTTACTCTCCTGTTTACTATGTTATACATTACTATTAAGGACCTTTCTGGGCTCTGTTCCTCAAACGTGAAAAAGTTAAAATAAACTTAACTAGTCACATCTTTCCCATACCATTTCTTCCTTTTATTCACATGTACAGTAAAACATTTGTTTCTTAAAATGTTTTCTTTGCATCTCTTCTTCCTGTTTGTTTATCTTACACAGTTTCTTCTACTAATTTCCCTTGCCTCCCCCCCTTTAGCCACCCTGTACCATCAGACATCAGGGTTCTGTATATCTGAGCCTTTTCCTGCCGCCATGGGTTGTCAGACATTATTATTTCTCAGCATGGCTCCTTTTTTTTTTTTAAAAAAAAAATAAAGCTCAATTTGAGTGAAATTAACTATAAAGTTGTATGTTTTTTCTTGAGGAGACACAGTTACAAGTTTAACAAAATTTCAGAGGGTTTTATGAATCAAAGTGCCCTTTAACTTAAAACATCAATATGTAATACTAAATGCTATTACTGTCCTTTAATAAAGAACTATAGTATTTTATTTATATAATAAAAGTTAAAATATGTTCATTGATAATTTGGCTTTTTTATACTTGATATAAAGAAAATTTCCAAATCAATTTAGTGAAAGTATACTGGGTAAACCCAGAAAGGAAGATGTTTGCCTAAACAGGTATTTTTGAAACCTGGCTTTGATGTCATATATTAACCATTCATACATAATTAAAATAATGCATGTTCTTATTTATTAACACAAGGATATTAGCTTTCAAGTCTGAAAAAGTACTAAAGAATGTAAAATCCAGAAATAAAAGTCAAAGTTACTTTAAATTAATAGCTGCTCTAAGCTACTTTTGTTATGTGAATACTATGTATACTTAGCGTGCTGTTTTTTTTTTTTAAATCTTATAAAACTTATTGACAAAGTTCAGTGTACCATCAAGTGCAAGATTTTAATTTAAAATTTAATTCCGCTTTCTTAGGTAATTCCCTCCCTTCCCTATATGTAAAACCCAACTATAAGATTATCTTTCACCTTCAAGATTTTCTGGTACTAGTTTTTAAAGCATTTTGACTGCTGCCCCAGAATGAAGCTAGTCAATAAAGGCAGCATATTTGTCTATCACAGAACAGCTTCGAAAGACAGTACTCACCTTAATGCAAATAATTAATCTGTTGTGCTTTTAAAATGACCAAGTTCTCTCTTTATTGCCCTTTAGAGTTTGGTTAGCCACAAACTACTTTTGTAACAGCCTCTACAAGGTCACTAGTACCAGTTTCCCATTTCTTGTCTTCTTCTGAAATAAATGCAAGTAGAACATATGTCATAGCTGCAAGAACACCTGAGTCTCTTCCAAAACAAATGTGATTGTACTGAAGTAAATTACCTCTAAAAGTCATTCCACAGATTTATTAATAATCACATTGAAAAATCTACATTTGTTTTAGATTTCATGTTTACAGAGCAGGAGCTTTTTACTGTGGTGTTAGGATTTCTCACAACTACCATGTGATTTCTATGAACAGTGGAGTATCTGGCTCATAAGACTCTCTATTCATAGCTTTCCTTTGGGCCCATAAGAATGAGCTAATAGTTCCCTATAGTAAATCAAAAAAGGATATCCTTGGGAGTCTTTTTTGTTGTTACAGTTAATCTACTCCTGGATGCTATCTTGAGAACTGAGGGAAAACTCCTAGAGAGAAATATAAATCTTTTAACAAAATATTTACATGAGAAGTGGCCAGTTTTTCTTCCCTGGAGTAGCAATCTGTAAAAATAAGTGCTGCCATTTAGAAAAGTAGCATACCCTACAACAATCTACTGGTGAGAATTTCTTGATTTTCCCCATATAAAGGTGAAACATCACATATTAGGTTTGGATGAAGCTTGGGTTAGATCTCTGCCTTTTAAGGCAAAATCAATTTTTTTTTTAGCTGAATTATTAAGGTTGTAAGGTACTGTTTACACTTGGCTTGAACTAACAGCTCTACTGTGGACTATTTTCAATGTACATGTAAATGTTCATGCAGCAGAAGCCAATTCCTTTAACAGAACATTAAAAGGATACATTTTTGGATGCTAATGGATACTTCAACTTAAGTAATGGTATTGGTAAGGATCAAATTGCACTATTAGTCTTGTTAATACAACACTGGAACACACACTGCATATATATGTATTATCCTAAGATAAAACTCTTCTCAGAATTTCATTACTTTTTATTATACACCAACTAGTTTATATTTTAGTTCTTTACAAAGAAAAAAAGCTAAGAAATTATAACCACGTTATATGGTTTTAAAATTCATAATTCCAGATTTCTTTACATATAAGATGGAATGGCCCAGCAGCTATGTCCACTGTCACAGACTTTAGTTCCATTCAATGATATGGCACATCCTGCAAAATTAACTAGTCACACACAAAAAATGTCTCAAATACAGTAAAAATGTACACACAATAAAGGTAATTTACAATGACAAATAAGGAATGTAATTTATCTTTGCTGTGCTTCAGAAATTTAGGGTCAGTAGCCTTAGTCAAGGCACAAAGCAGGAAGAGGTGAGCACAGCTGTCTCCGAGAGAGGGCAAGGTATGTACAATTACTGATGAGGTAAGCATGCACGTAAAGAATTTAAAACCGCTCAGTCTTGCTACAAAAATTGAACAGAGTTAAAAGGAAATGCTGTGGTTTTCCCCAACTACCTGTGGATCAAGTCCACAATCTTTAATTCATCATATAGAAAATAAAATTGGCAATGTTCTCCAAAGTAAAATATTATTTGCATAAATGAAACAAAAATGCTTCACCAATCCCAATTCTTGGTTGTGCCTCCTGGACTGGAAGCATTTTGTAGACAAAGGAGTGTTTCACAGAATTGAAATGTCATTCATGTGAAGGACAAGACATTTTCCACAGACACTTAAAATTTCAAACTTTCAAATGGCCCTTACAGCTGAACCACTGCTTGCTGAAGTAATGAGGTTCTGGGATCCTTTAGCAGCAATGCAGATTTAAAGGGCACGGGGTCTCTTCGGATTGATTTGCTTGCTGGCCTGTTCTTCTTCTTGTAGAGCTGCACGAAAAGATTTCACTTTATCTTGGAAAAGAAAAGAACAAGAGAGAGAATAAGTATTGTGTTACATGCAACACACATGTATATAGTACATACCTTTATGGCTGTACGTTTCCTTTTGGTCTTTGTTGTTTGGAAACACAAATTAAATGCAATGCTCACCTACATCGAATAGTTTTCATTACAGATTCCTGGAAATATTTATCTTTCAACAGGCTTCTGCTCTTTGTAGCACATTTTAGGGTTTAATTTCATTTCCCATCACTTTTGTAATATATGCAGGCTGATGTGTAAAATGTTGTGCATTCACACCCAAAGGGAAACTGTCAGTCTTATTAAACTGTAGAAGACATTTCTTTCAATATTAGGTTATTCTCATACTAAGTCCTATTTTCTCTTTTTCAAGGTATGAGATTTTAAAAGATGTTTTAAGTTTTAAAAATGCTCCCACCCCCAAGCAATACTTTATCTGGCCAAAATGCTGAAGTTATGACATTCTGGACTACCTAACCTCAGAAGAAAAGGAAGATACCAAGTTGGAACCTTAATTTCTTTCCCCTCTTCAGAAGCACAATGATGTTTTAAAAAGTCGGTTATTCTGAAATTTAGAAGAGAATTGAGAATTCTGGATTTGGGGCCTGCTAATACAGCTCGCAAATTTCTTACGTTAATACCAAAATTATCTTTGGTGAATAGATAATCTTAGACAAAAGATTAAAAAAAATAACAAACTATGAAAGGACTGAATAATGGAGTATCTTAATAAACTCAAAACCAAACTTGAGTCGATCCCGACACATAGTGACCCCTCCTTGGGTTTCCAAGGTGGTATCCCTATGGAAGTAGATTGCCCAACCTTCCTTCCGAGGAGTGGCTGCTGGGTTTGAACCGTCAGCCTTCTGGTTAGCAGTCGAACACTATGCTACCAGAGCTCCTAATATCTTAGTAGTAACTTACTAAATCACCACTTGTCTGTCACTTTGTCATACTGTGGTGGACTGCATGTTGCTGTGATGCTGAAAGCTATGCCACCAGTGTTTCAAATACCTGCAGGGCCACCCACAGTGGGCAGGTTTCAGCAGAGATTCCAGACTAAGACAGACTAGGAAGGAGGACACAGCAATCTACTTCCGAAAAAACTGGCCAGTGAAAACCTTATAAATAGCAGAACACTGTCTAATATAGTTCCTTTAAGGAAGACTGGGCAATCTACTTCTGTACAGATACTTCCTTGGAAACCCATGGAGGGGTTGCTGTGAGTTGGGTCTAATATAGTGCCGGAAGATGAGCTGCCTTCTCAAAGCAGAAGAGACACTGAAGAAGTGGATGGAGTGAAGCTTTCTGGACCTTAATTTGCTGATGTGGCATGATTCAAAACGAGAAGAAACAGCTGCAAACATCCATTTAATAATCAGAATATGGAATGTAAGGAGCATGCATCTAGGAAAATTGGAAGTTGTGAAAAAATGAAATACATAAAGATCTATATCCTAGGCATTAACAAGCTGAAATGGACTCGGCTATTTTGAATCAGATAATCATATGGTCTATTATTCCAGGAATGACAGATTAAAGAGGAATGGTATCGCATTCACCATCAAAAAGTACTTTTCACCAACAATTTTTTACATACCTATTTGTATGTGCTATATAAAAAGGTCCATATAGATAATAGAGCTCACAGGGAGCAAAGTTATGATAACTTCTTAGCCACAGCCAAACACCTTGAAGCAGTGAGCCGCTGGGCCTGGGGCTGGGGACCACGCTGGCTCAGGACCATGGTCGTAGGGGACATCAAGCTCAACTGGCATAACACCACTACACAGAAACACTACATTCTACATTCTACTGGGGTCTTAAAAGCGTGTGAGCAGCCATCTAAGATGCAACAATTGGTTTCTCCTCAGTTCTGAAACAAAGGAGAATGAAGAAAATCAAAGACACATGGAAACAATTAGTCCAAGGGACTAGTGGACTATAGGAACTTCAGCCTACAAGACGCCAAGACCAAGAAGAACTAGATGGTGCCTGGCTACCACTGTCAACCACCTGGAAAGGCATCAGAACAGGAGATCAAGGATGGAGTGGGAGAAAAATGTGGAACAAAACTTAAAATCATAAAAAAAAAGACCAGGCTTACTGGTCTGATAGGCACTAGTGAAACCCCTGAGACTATGGCCCCTAATCACCCTTTGGGCCTGGAACTGAACTCACTCCTGTAGCTTCCAGCTAAACAAGAGGCCTCCAAGGTGAATAGTTACACCAGGTAGGTACACTCCTACACTCCTTAAGGAGCCCTGGTAGCATGATAAAGCATTTCGCTGCTAATCAGAATAGCAATTCAAATCTACCAGCTGCTCCTTGGGAGGAAGATGAGGCAATCTACTTCCATAAAGACTTACAGTCTTGGAAACCCAATGGGGGTTATTATGAGTTGGAATTGACTTGATGGCTGTGGGTTTGGATTTTGGTTTTAAGGTACACTACTTAGAACAATTAACCATGGGAAATCAGAAGGGTGACATTTTCATAGGGAGAGCTCAGAGGGCACGAATGTGTATCAAAGAAGGACACAAGGAAAAAGTAACAACAGGGAGGAAGTAGGAAGAGAGCTGTTGTATTATGGGGAATGCAATCAATCCTACAAAACAAAATGTGTATGAACTGCTGAATGGAAAATGAATTTGCTATGTAAACTTTCACCTAAATCACTCATTCACACAGACCCACACCCCAATCTCTCCTGAAGTACAATGCTGTCCATGATAGGATAATATTCATATCCCTATGAGGCAGAATAGTTAATACTACTACTATTCAAATTTAAGCACCAACCACTAATGCCAAAGATGAAGAAACCATAGACTTTTACCAATTTCTGTAGTCTAAAATTGACCATGCATACAATCAAGATATGTTGATAATTACTGGTGACTGGATTTATGAAAGTTGGAAAAAGCACTGGTAGTTGGAAGATATGGCCTTGGTGATAGAAATGATGCCAGAGATGATATGATAGAATTTTTCAAGACCAATGACTTACTCATTGCAATAACATAATTTTTTTCAACAACATAAATGGTGATTATACATGTGGACCTCACCAGATGGAATACAGAGGAAATCAAATTGACTACATCATGCGAAGAGATGATGGAGAAGCTCAGTATCGTCAGTCAGAACAAGGCCAATGACCAATTATGAAACAGACCATCAACTGCTCCTATACAAGTTTAAGTTGAAGCTGAAAAAAACACAAATACGAGGGCCAAAATATGACCCTAATTATATCCTACCTGAATTTAGAGATAATCTGAAGAACAGATTTGATGCATTGAACAATATGACCAAAGACCAGATGAGTTGTGGGATGACATCAAGGACATGAAGAATGCAAAAAGGTCATTGAAAAGACAGGAAAGAGACTAAAATGGATGTCAGAAGAGACAATGAAACTTGCTCTTGAAAGGAGAGTAGCTAAAGCAAATGGAAGAAATGATGAAATAAAAGAGCTGAACAGAAGATTTCAAAGAGCAAATCAAGAGGACAAAGTATAATGAAATATGCAAAGATTTGGAGTTAGAAAATCAAATGGGAAGAACATGCTTGGCATTTCTGAAGCTTCAAGAACTGAAAAAAAAACCTCAAGCCTTGAATTGTGATATTGAAGGATTTATGGGCAAAATACTGAACAATGAAGTAAGCATCAAAAGAAGATGGAAGGAATATGGAAGTCACTGTACCAAAAAGAATTGGTTAACATTTAGCCATTTCAGGAGGTACCATATAATCAAGAACTAATGTTATTCAGGGAAGAAGTCCAAGCTACACTAAAGGTACTGGTAACAAACAATTACCTTTTATGGTTGAGAGAATGGGACAGTGAATAAGGAACACTACAGAAGAATAGTGACTGTACCATGGACTGCTAGAAGAACGAACAAATATGTCTTGGGGGAAATATAACCAGAATGCTCCTTAGAAGTGAGAATCACTAGGCTTCCTCTCTCATACTTTGGTCATGTGGTCAGAAGGGATCAGTCTCTTAAGGAAGATATCATGTTGGAGTAAAGCAGAGGGTCAGTGCAAAAGGAGAGGACCCTTCACAAAATGGACTGACACAGTGGCTACAATGATGGCCTCAAGCATAGCAAAGATCATGAGAATGATGCAACACTGGGCAGTGTTTTTGTTCTGTTGTACATAGGCTCACTATTAGTCATAGTGACTTGACAGTATCTAACAATAACTTATCAAAAATTATGAGTATGCATGGGACCTGAGGAAATTAAAGACAGGCAGTCAACTAAGTTGAATGATATATATTGGATGAGAGAAAATATCAGAATACGTGATGATCTGTCTTCAAAATAAAACCCATAGAGAAAAGTTTACTGAATTATGGCAGGTCAGAAATGATCAAAAACAATTTAAAACGAGGATTGAACAAAGAACATGAAAAATGTAAATTTCAGAAACCCTATTGTTAGCTGTCATGTCGATTCTGACTCATTGTGATCCCAAGTGTACAGAGGAGAACTGGCTACAGAGGGTTTTCAAGGCTGTGACCTTTAGAAGCACATCATCAGGCCTTCTGAGGCATCTCGAAGTAATTGTAAACCTCTAATCTTTCATTAGTAGTCCAGTACTTAACCATATCTGTCACATCTGTGTAAGCAATTCTGAATGCAGCAAATGGACACTGTTAATTTTAAAGTATAGCATATGATTTCAAGTAACCAACTGCACAGAGTCTTAAGAGTTAAGCAACTTATTTACTACTAAAAACTAGAAATTTCAATCTGGTTTCACATTGCATTGTGCATGCATACATGCACACACACATATTAACACAGCCAACTAGGTTGCCAATTCCTAAGGTGAGCACAGAGAAGAAATGCGTGTGGGCAATCATGACAGATGCAAGAAGTTGCTTCAGTGGCCACTTCACAAGGAAGTCTTCCTGAAAGCTCCTACTTAACTTTTTTTTCTTTTTTTTAACAAACAAGTGTTCAGAGTACAAAGATGACAAGATACACAGAAAGAAGATGCAGATCAGAGGCTATAGAATGATGACCCTGAACAGTCCTAATCCAAAGGAAAAATTCTTAAAACATCAGCCAGCTGGCCGAACAGGTAGGGCAGGCCAGGAAGCGGTGGGAGTCAGATTTGGAGGGCCGGAACATGTAGGGCAGGCTGGGAAGCAGGAGCAGAGTGGTTTGAAACAGTGGTTTGAAGCTAAAGGAGATGAACTTGTCTGTCAGTTTTTCGCCCTGTGATCGCTTGAGTGTTGGTGTGAGGCTGGCGTCTGTGCCACCAGTGTTACAAATGTCAGCAGGGTTATCCATGAGGGACAGGTTTCAGCGGAGCTCCCAGACTAAGAGAGGCTTGGAAGAAGGACGGGGCCATCCTCTTCTCAAAGAACTGGCCAGTGAAAACCTTATGAACAGCAGTGAAACACTGTCTGATATATTACTGGACAACTTTATGAATAATCCTGAAACACTGTCTGATAAAATGTCGAAAGATGAGCCCCTCAGGTTGGAAGGCCCTCAAAATACTACTGGGAAAGAGCTGCCTCCTCAGAGTAGAGCCGACCTTGATGTAGATGGAATAAAGCTTTTGGGACCTCCATTTGCTGATATAGCTTGACTCAAAATGAGAAGAAACAGCTGCAAACATCCATAAAGATTGATATCGCAGCCATTAGCAAGCTGAAATGGACCAGTTTTAGCCATTTTGAATCTGACAACCATATGATCTACTATGCTGGGAATGACAAGAAGAATGGCGTGGCATTCATCATCACAAAGAATATTTCAATATCTGTCCTGAAGTACAATGCTGTCAGTGATAGGATAATATCCATATGCCTACAAGGAAGACCAGTTACTACTATTATTCAAATTTACACAATACCCACCAAAGCCAAAAATGAGGAAATTGAAGATTTCTACAAACTTCTGAAGTCTGAAATTGACTGAACATGCAATCAAGATGTGTTGATTATCACTGGCAACTGGAATGCAAAAGTTGGAAAAAAAGAGGACTCACTAGTAGTTAGAAAAATGGCCGTGGTGAGAGAAATAACGCTGAAGATCACATGACAGAATTTTGCAGAACTAATGACTTATTCATTGCAAATACCTTTTTTCAACAACACAAACGGTGGCTATACATGTGGACTTCACCAGGTGGACTACACAGGAAATCAGAATGACAAGAGGCAAGAGGTGGTGGAGAAGCTCACTATCTTCAGCCAAAACAAGGCCAGGAGCTGCTTGTGGAACAGACCATCAACTGCTCATATGCAAGCTCAAGCTGAAGTTGAAGACAATTAAAACAAGTCCACGAGAGCCAAAATATGACCTTGATCATATCCCTCTTGAATTTAGAGGCCATCTGAAAAACAGATTTGATGCATTGAACACCAATGACTGAAAACCAGAGGAATTATGGGATGACATCAAGAACATCATCCATGAAGAAAGCAAAAGGTCATTAAAAAGACAGTAAAGGAAGGAAGAAAAGACCAAAATGGATGTCAGAAGAGAATCTGAAACTTGCCCTTGAACAGAGAGTAGCTGAAGCAAATGGAAGAAATGACAAGATAAAAGAGCTGAACAGAAGATTTCAAAGAGTAGCTCGAGAAGACAAAGTCAATTATTAGGATGAAATGTGCAAAGACCTGGAGTTAGAAAACCAAAAGAATATGCTTGGCGTTTCTCAAGATGAAAGAACTGAAGAAAAAATTTAAGCCTCGCGTTGAAATACAAGATTCTATGGACAATCTATTGAATGATGCAGGAAGCATCAAAAGAAGATGGAAGGGATACATAGAGTCACTATACCAAAAAGAACTGGTCAATGTTCATCCATTTCAGGAGGTAGCATATGATCAAGAACCAATGGTACTGAAGGAAGAAGGTGAAACTCTGCTGAAGGAATTAGCAAAAAGCAGGGCTCCAGGAATTGATGGAATATCCACTGAGATGTTTCAACAAACAGATGCTGCGCTGGAGGCACTCACTCGGTTATACCAAGAGATTTGGAAGACAGCTACCTGGCTAACTGACTGGACAAAATCCATATTTGTACCCATTCCAAAGAAAGGTGATCCCACAGAATGTGGACACTGTCAAACAAAATCATTAATATCATATGCAAGTAAAATCTTACTGAAGATAATTCAAAAATGGTTGTAGCAGTATACTGACAGAGAACTTCTAGAAATGCAAACTGGATTAACAAGAGGATGTGGAACGAGGGATATCATTGCTGATGTCAGATGATCTTGGCTCAAAGCAAAGAATACCAGAAAGATGTTTACTTGTGTTTCACTGACTATGCAAAAGTATTTGCTGTGTGGATCATAAAAATTATGGATAAAACATGGAGAAGAATGGGAATTCCAGAACACTTAATGGTACTCATAAAAAGCCTGTACATAGACCAGGAGGCTGTTGTTCAACAAGGGGACACATGATGGTTCAAAATCAAGAAGGGAATGTGTCAGCATTGTGTCCTTTCACCATATTTATTAACAACCTGAGATACACTGATGACACAACTGTGCTTGCTGAAAGTGAGTCAATGACTTGAAGCACTTACTGATAAAGGCTGAAGACTACAGTCTGCAGTATGGATTACACCTCAATATAAAGAAAACAAAAATCCTCACATTGGACGAATAAGCAGCATCACGATAGATGGAGGAAAGACTGAAGTGGTCAAAGACTTCATATTGCTTGGATCCACAATCAACACCAATGGAAACAGCAGTCAAGATATCAGACTGCTGTATATCAAGATATACAGCACTGGGCAAATCAGCCAAAAAGGATCTCTTTCAAAGTGCTGAAGAGTAAAGATGTCTCCTTGAACACTAAGGTGCACCTGACCCAAGCCATGATATTTTCAATCACCTCATATACATGTGACAGCTGGACAATGAATAAGGAAGACTGAAGAAGAGTTGATGCTTTTGAGTTGTGGTGTTGGCAAAGAATAGTGAAAGTACTATGGACTGCTAACAAATCTGTCCTGGAAGAATTGCAGCTGGAATGCTCCTTGGAAGTGAGCATGGCCAGACTTTGTCTCACCTACTTTGGTCATATTATCAGAAGGGACTATTCCCTGGAGGAGAATGTCATGCTTGGTAAAGTGGAGGGTCAATGGTCAATGGAAAAGGGCAAGGCCCTCAAAAAGATGGACTGACACAGTGGCTGCAATGATGGGCCCAGGAATAGCAGGAATTGTGGGGCTGATGCAGGACTGGGCAGTGTTTCATTCCATTGTACACAGGGTCGCTGTTAGTCAGAGATGACTCAATGGCACCCAACAACAACAACAACCTGAAACCTCCTATTTAATTTTTTTTTTTAACAAGCAAATGTTCAAAGAAAAAAGATGACAGGATGCACAGAAAGAAGATGCAGACCAGAGGCTATAGAAAGATGACCCTGAATAGTCCTAATCTAAAGGAAATAATTCTTAAAAGCATCAGTCTAGTAACCTAAAGATCTGAATGTGTATATTTAATTTACTAATTTGTTGAAATACATTTTTTTTAAATCATGAGATCTTTTCTCTTTAAGACTTAAAAAAAAAAAAATCAAGATGACTAGAAAGAACTGGGAATGACATTCCATGTTTTTTAGACTATCTTTGTCTTTATACCTCTGGAAAGAAAATGGCTACACAGTGCCCATCATTTTCACTTAAGAAAACCTCTTGTAATATGAAGTCCTCCCATTCATATACATACAAACACCAATCAGATTTCAAACACTAAAATGAGAAAACCATTACCCCGTAGCTCAGTTAAAATGTCTATTTTTTGCTCAAGAATAGCTTCAAGTTGTGTAGCATATGAATCTACATCATAGTCTACTTCTTCCGTCATCTCTAGGAGAGCTTTTTCATCTTCTAACCATCGAATAGATTCCTAAAAGAACAAAAATTAAATAACTCAATAAGCCTCTCTGTAAGACAGAAATATAATCAAACATACTTAACACCACATTCTCGGAAATATTAATAAACGTTAAATATTTTAATTCACAGATAGTAAAATTAAGGAATATCTTCTTAAATTCAAACACAAACACACATATATGATGGGCCAAATAAGATGATTTAATTTTCCTATTTTTCTTCTTCCTCGTAGGAGGCAATTAATCAAACACAAATATCAATGAGCAATGTCAAGTCTCAAAACCTTGAGAGCTATCCTTAAACAGGCAGAATGGAAGTAATAAAGCTACTGAGAAATATTATGATGGAGTTAGTGCCTAAGGCAGAAGCTCTGGTAGCATAGTGGCTAAGATACTTGACTGCTAACCAGAAGGCTGGCGGTTCAAACCCACCAGCCACTCCTCAGAAGGAAGATGGGGCAATCTACTTCCATAGTGATACTGCCTTGGCAACCCAAGGAGGGGTCGCTATGAGTTGGGTCCAACTCAACGGCACAGTAGCAACAACAACAAATTGCCTACGGCATCTGACTGCTATCCAGAAGGCTGGTGGTTCAAACTCACTAGCCACTCCTCGGAAGGAAGATTGGGCAAAATCTACTTCCATAGTGATACTGCCTTGGAAACCCAAGGAGGGGTTGCTATGAGTTGGATCTGACTGCATGGCAGTGAGTATGGTAACCTAGAACTTCTAAGTCATGTAGAATTAACATATGAGTTGGGACCTCACAGTAGCTGGGCCAAGACTTAACTGTAACTTTTATACACCAGCTCTTCAAAATTATTATGACTATAAAGGACCAACAACAGCAATTTTAGGAGAGTCAAATTAATCCACTAAAAAGTAGTTATTTATTATGCAGAAATGCCACGAGGAAACTCTTGATTTTTAACCAATTATAAATATATGGAATTAAGAGTTACATTTTCTTGCAATGGCATAATCATAGTTAATGAAGTGAGTTTATTATGAATAACTTTTTTTTGATATGAAAATGGGTAGTTTCAAGCTTTTTAGGATACTTACAATCTCAACTTTCCAAGTATCAATGCATTTTAATGGCTACTTGAAACTAGATTACACATCACCAGGCAGAAGAGGTTAACCCAACTATAAATACCTATTAGAAAGTACACCTACTCCTCATTTATCAACTATCTTGTTACCCAACATTTTGCATTTAGGACAATCTGAGGACTTTAAGCATTAATGACATATGTCTGGCAGCAGTGAACACCAAGGTGCAAGGTGAGAGTAACACTGGCTGTGATGGTTAAGATTATGTGCCATCTCGGCTGAGTCGTGATTCTCAGTGGTTTTAAAGATATGTATGATGTAATTTGGCAGTTACATAATGATGTAGTCATCCTCCATTTTCAAATAATGCAGATTTTTTACATAATGACCTAATCTTTGGAACCTAAACATGTTGATAAGTGAGGAGTGCGTGTATACAGGTATGCAATGCTTAACAACCACAAAACATTCTGTGAAATAAGAGTATTATACACACACACACACACACACACACAAAATGCTGTTTACACAATGTCCAAACCACATAATGTCTATGGTCACATGGCTTGTGTAGCGCCCTAGGCCTGAGCCTGAGTGAGTGCTCTCTGTGGCTACGCTCTCTCCAACCATGTCCTTCTCCATGGGCACAATGCTCTCAGCTGGGAAGAGAAGGTAGAGGAGTGTTTGTTCCTGACTTAGCGGTGCTGGTGCCCCTCCCTTCTTCAGCTGTTACAGTGGCAGAAGGTGGGACCTTAGCTCTGAGCGAAGGTCTGCAGCCTTATGAGCTGAAGGGGCTTCTACACTGAGACTCCTACCTCCACTCAGATAGTAAGGATGGGGGTCCCAGGTATGCACACCTTCCTCAGGGAAGATGACAGCCCTAAGGGACAATCAAGAGTCTCCTCCTGCCCCATTGTACACCTGCAGCCGGTGTGGCAAGGCCTTCATCTGGACCTCTGAGCTCATCAAGCATCAATGCATCGACACAGGTGAGAAGCCCTCTGAGGGCAGCAATGCTTTCCCATGGCTGCTCCTTCTTCTGGCACCTGTGAAGCCCTGAGTGAAATCCTTCACCTGCAGCACCTGTGGCAAGGCCTTTGGCCAGAGCTTGCAACTCATCCAGCACAAAAGGATCCACTACAGGGAATAGATGAGACTGGTGAGGGACACCAGCCTATGTTAAGGATCCTGTCTGCCTACCCTCCTGTGTGGTCACCCAGCTCTGCATGCCCAATATCCCCAATAAATCCTTTCTGGTTGCTGGAAAAAACAACAAACAAACTTTATGGGACCATCGACATATGTGTGATTGGATATTGTCCAAAGGGATATTATATGGCAAACTCTATATTTATCAATTAGCAAAAATACACACACCTCAGTTTTTTTTTTTTATCTGCTATACTCCTAATTTTTAAAAACAAAACCTTATTTTGAGAAATAATAGATTATAGTATGAAGTAACAATATATGTAATTGTAAAAAGAATACTGAATTGAATGCTCAATTCTTCCAAGCAACAGCTATGAAACTTCAGGGTACCTCATTTATAAAATGGGAAATGATGGTCTTTATATGACACCTTTTTCCAAGGACACACAACAATTTTCTTAATTACAAGTATCTTTTTGTGATTTAATCTGAACATTTAGGCCTTCAAGGAGATTCTTATAGAAGAGCTTAACTATCCTGGCAGTTTTAATGAACTTACATCCAGTTATGAAATAGTTCTCACATATCTGAGCCCTTTTCCAAGTGGCTAGAATAATCTAAAGCTGAGGTACCTTAATATCTGTTTACAGATAAAGATTTCTTTAACATCAGAGAAGGGACACAGTTCAATTAAGGGCAACTGAATCATTATTCATTTTTTCCTCAGGAAGTATCCATAGTACTATAGGAAGTCAGAAGGGGAGCAAAGGCAAGTCGACACACAGGCTCCATAAAGACTGACTGCTATCTTCCTTTACTCATAAATATCACCACCCAGGATATTTTCTTTTTAAAAAATGGGAAATAAAGAAGGATCATACCATACAGTAAGCATACTTTTAATAGATGAAACACAATGGGATGAACAGTTACTGCCACACACAGGGGCATAACACCCCTCACTCAACCTGTCACTAACAGCTCAGTCATGGCAATAACTCTCCAGCTTCCTGAAGCTGTCTTTTTTTTTTTTTTTCCAAAGACTGATACTTCTTCAACTGCTCTAATGTCCTTTAGAAGAGTCTGTCTTACTGCTGTCAAATAAATGGGCTTAACCTGAAGAAAGGGGTAGTGGTGGGCAGAAGTTCAATGATTCTTTGAAATGAACAAGTGACAAAAAACAAAGGGGTAGAAGAGTGGTAAATAAAGTTGATCTTTTCATCATGGTGCAAAGAAAGATTGTTTTGTAGCCATCATACATTTTATTTCAAATTTACAATATCCTATGTTTTATACAAGGAACTCTGGTAGCACAGTGCCTAAGGTATCTGACTGCTAACCAGAAGGTTGATGGTTCAAACCCACAGCCACTCTGCAGAAGCAGGACTGGGCAATCTACTTCCTAAGATTTACCACCTCAAATCCCAATGTGGGTCAGTATGAGTCAGAATCGACTCAACATCTGTGGGTTTTTGGGCTATGTTTTATATACATATTCTCATATGAGAGGTGTGGAAAGCTTTTGAAGTAAATAATTTGGCCACTGGTGCTGGTTCCTGCAAATCTGACCATACCTGGAAGCTAACCAGACCAAGAGGGACCACCTGGCCCTATGCTGACAAAGCCTCAGGGGCCATGATATAATCTATCATGACCACAGGGTGAAGCCAGTAAAGTCCCTGGCTGACAGAGGCTCAATGGAGCTTTCTGGATGTTGAGAGCAATCATCCAATGTTGGGAAGTTAAGTGCATTCCCTGGGGGGACATGGAAGCTGTGCACCGAAATCCCTCCCAAACTGCCCTGGAGTTTTTGAGTTGTTCAAATGGAATAGCAGACATAAAAAATAGAGGTGGAGTGATGCTTACTGATCTAGCGCAAGATAAATGAGGATGAGACAGAAAGGGCTGCCTCGATGCAGCTATGGTCTGGACTGACTGGGAAAAGCAAGCTCAGACTTCTACAGGACGTAGTTGGTGTGTGGAATGGGACTTATTCACCACACATTTCGTTTGGGTAATCTCAGCCTCCTCAGATTGAACTGATATAACCGACACAGCAGTGTGAGCTAGCTTTGAGAAGTCTGACATTGTAACATATATAAATATTTTTTAGAATAGCAGGATATTCAAAGAATTTGGAAAATCTTAATTTATTTAATGAAAAATTTTGATGACAGGTTCTGTGTTACCTGGAACACTGCTCTGTGATCTTCTACAACTTGTTCTTCCATTTCTACCATTTGTGAGACAGCTTCATGGAAAGTAAACAATTGTGGAGAAACTTCTTCTTCCTTAAAATAAAAAGAGTTTTGTAAAAAATATGCTATGAAGTTTGTATTTTAAATGCTATAAAGGCTATTTTTTCAATGTAATTTGTAAAACTAACTGTCATTTAGAATTTGAGAAATTTTGAATAGGAAAGACTATGAGAAAGTTCCAAATTCTTTCTATGGATCAAAAATATTTAATGTAATACTCAATAATATAACCCAAATTTAAACATGTAAGTTAGAAAAACATAAACCCATTTTATTGCAGAATTACAACAGAAGGGTAATAGGGTAATTTACATATCTTAAGTTTTGTTTATCAGAAGAGAGATACCAAGATATTATCTTTTATGACTGTGATGTTCAAATTGATGCTCTGAAGGGCTATTGGGTGCTGTTGTCTCATGGGGTTTTCTAGGCTTTAATCTTTACTGAAGCAGACCACCAGGTCCTTTTCCTACACAGCTACTGGGTAGGTTCAAACTGCAACTCTTTCAGTTAGCAGCCCAGCACTCAGACCATGCACCACCAGACCTCCTTTCCAAAGGATTACCTCTTACTATTTTTCAAAACTGCAAGGCACAGATCAGGCCTAATTAGCATGATGATGTTATATAAATGTTTCAAATACTAATCTCAGCCAAAATACAGTATATGTTTTTATTATAATCTTGGATGCTAAACTTGGTTCTTTAGTATTTTATGGGAAGAATATTGTCTGAATCTGTGTAATTCAACAAATATAATTTGGGTATTACAATCATCAGAAAATCTGTGAGGAAGAGGAGGAGAAAAAAAGGATGAAATAGCTATACTCTATAGCAAGTGGAAAAAGCCAATTAAACCCAAGCTCTGGCTACTATAGGTAAAGCTTGATCACTTCCTGCTCTACAACAGTTCTTTAAAAGTGCCACTTTTACTGGCCCAAAATATGTAAGACTGCATGTATTTTATGGTAACTGGAAGACAGCTGATGAATTTTAATAAAGCATTTTATGAAGCCTGTGAAACTGTAATATTCATAATTGCACTATACAATGCACATAATTAGTTGTTATGGGTATCCTGACAATTTACAATTGTACTTCATCAATAAGAAAACCACTCACATATACAACATATCCACGTTTTGACTCTACATTAAGTCAAAACTTCCCTGGACTAGCTATCTTCTTTGAGCTTCTTTCCTAACCCCATAATTTACTTCTTCAAAATGTGGCTCAAGTGATGAAGACAACTATGTAGAAGTATACATAACACTTTTCAATGAAATTTCAGTAGAAAAAAAGATGTTTTAAATAAAATGATTCATATATTATACATATTTATTTATTAAATGAAACACTGTAAGTAAACATTTGACTCTTTCATCAATAAACTACCTCCTAAAGGTATTTATAATTAAGTTAATCAAATAACTTTTTCTCTTTAGGAAAAGCTACCTTTTATCAGAGCATGAAGGCATTCTCTAATACACACATTCAATATACCTTTACTCACTTTATCTGCCCAGCTCACTCCCAAGCCTAAAAATGTCCTCTCTTTTCCTTTGTTTCAACATATTAAGCAAGTTTCTATCATGTTCACGTGGTCTAGTGATAATACTTTTTTTTTCTATATAAATTTCTTCTACTTCTGGAATTTAATGCATTTGAATATACTCTCATCTGTCTACCTATATTAGTTTTATCTTTAAGACATGCCCTAGACTCTATCACCTTTATCTTTAAGACATATCCTAGACTCTATTCCCTTTTAAACTACTGTTAAGACTTTGTATAGTAATAATATATACACATACATACCCCATACTTACCTAAATGTTAATGCTAAACCATCTCAAGATAGTTCCCCAGAGAAGGCAAAATTCACTTTCTCTCAAGAAGAACTCATGATATCATAGTTACAGCCTTTGGATTAATTTTTTGTCACCTACTCAAACTCTTCAAATTAAGGACCCTGTAGAGACCCTAACTGTTAAGAATAAAATGGGAAAATATGCTATGGGGACTACCTGTCTTATTCTGATTTTCCATGTATTTGGAAAGCACCATATATAATTATAATGCAGAGTTTAACAGATTCTAAGAACAAACACAGTCAACTTCAAACTTTTGGGGCTAGAAGATGGACTGAGGCCAGAATCTCATCTTTAGTTATCTAATTTCTATGGTTCAAAGTTTAGAATTCTCACTTTAAAATAGGGGTTATGGATTGAATTGTGTCTCCTCAAAATACGTGTTGTAAACCCTAGTCCCTATACCTGTAGTTATAATCCCATTTGGGATTTTTTTTTTTTGTGATGTTAAGGAGGCAGTATCAGTGTAGGGTGTGTCTTAAACCAATCTCTTTTGAAATAAGAAAAAGGGCAAACTATGCAAGGAAGCACCTTTAAGAGAAGACAGATCCCATGCCAGATAAACATCACCAAGCAGGCAAGGAACAGAAGATGAAAAGAAACAAGGACCTTCTCCCAGAGCCAGAACTCTGAATTTGAACTGCTAACTTTCAAAACTATGAGAAAACATATTTGTTAAAACCCCTACTTGTGGTATTTCTGTTACAGTAGCACTAGATAAGACTTCACATTTTCTCAACTTTATCATTACTGGCATTTTGGGCTAGATAATTCTTTATGTAGGGTTAAGTATATTGTAGGATGTTTAGCTGTATCCGTTGCCTCTATCCAGTACATGCCAGAAGTACTACCTCAGTTTTGACAACCAAAAATGCTTCCAGACATTTTGCCTCAGGAGGCCAAATCACCACCCCTGGGTGAAAAGCAAACGAAAAATACCATGTTCATTTGTTACTTCAGGATATTTTTAATACCTGCTAGAAACTATAAAAAGTAGCTAACAACTAATTGTGAAGTAACACAGGGATATGCTGACATTAAATGTGCTTATAAAGAATATTTTATTGCAGGTAGCAAATAGGTTAGTCAACACAAGATTTGGCTGTGGAATAAAAAAGACTTAGGTTTTAATCCTAGCTTCATCACTTATTAATTTGTAAGATCTTGGTAAAGTTATTTAATCTCTTAGAATATCAGTTTTCTCAGCTAGAAAGTAGGGATAATGATACTACCATCACACAGAGTTATGAGTGAGCACTAAATCAAGTAATAAATAAGATTCTTAGCAAATATGTATGTCATTTAGTAAGCAATTAATATATGCCACCTTATATCATTATGGGAAAATTCTCAAACAGGATTCATAATGGGGAAAGAATGATAAAAAACTATATAAAGCACACATTAAAAAAAAATAACTATCGTATCTTCATGTAAATAACACGTTATATAGTTTTTGCAAACCATGCAAACCCCTTGCACATTAGTCTCCTATGCTTGAGTGCATCTGTATGTGAAAAAATATGGTACATAAATAACTTTTACATCTCACACACAGAAAGGAAGCCCTCTCCCCACTATATTAAAAGCAATTATATTAAAGGATGTATCATTATGCATTTTTTATTTCTTTGTATCTTTCTATCATTATATAATAGGTATGTATTGTTTCCTTATTTTTTTGAGTAATTGGGGAAACAAGTTTTTAAATTATGAAATATCACTAAATATTCCAAACCCACAGAAAAGCAAACAGATTTAACAAATACTAATGTTTTGCCATGTTTGGCTTTTGATCTTCCTTAAAATAAATTATTGATAGAGTTCATGTACCTTTTTAATATATATGTATGTCCACAATTCTTTTGCTTTATATATGATATACTATATGTATAATTCTTTAAATTGTTTTTTTCTTGTAAGTTTAAAAAAAAATCCAAATTTTATGAAAAAAGGAGAGTTGGTGCAACTACATATCAAGAAAATCATTCATCATGACCAAGTGGGGTTCATATCAGGTATGCAGGGATGGTTCAACATTAGAAAAACAATCAACTTCATCCACCAC